CCATTTAATGATTATGCAGTGCCCCTCTTTATTCTTGATAATTTTCCATGTTATAAAGTCTGCATTGTCTGAAATTTAACTAACTACTCAAACTTTCTCTTGATTCCTGTTAGCATGACATATCTTTCTTCTTTCCTTCACCTTTAATCTAGCTGTGTCTTTATAAGGTGAATTTCTTGTAGACATCATATAGCTAGGCCTCGTTCCTGATCAACTCTGACAGTCTTCGGCTTATATCTGGTGTATATTAAGATCATTGATATTTAAAGTGGTTACTGATATAATTGGATTAATCTACAATTTTTGTTACTGTTTTCTATTCATTGCCCTTTATGGGTATTTTTTCTTATTTGTTTGATTTTTCATCTTCCAAGCTCGTTTTTTTTCTCTGGTTTTAGTTTATCTTTTTATGTGATTAATTTTATCATCTCTAAGCATATTAATTGTACTTATTTAAAATGACTTTTCTTAGTAGTAGCCCTTGAGTTTGTATATACATTTAAGACCAATTCATGTCCACTTTCAAAGGACACCTCCCTGCATAGATGTAACCACAAGACAGGCAGGGCACAAGGAAAAAGAAAGTACTGAAGTCAAGAGCTTTGGGCTTGCATCCAAACTGAAGACTGGCATTCCTGGGGTCCCTTCTGCTCAGGCCTTGGCATCTTAATCTGTAAAATGGGAAAGCTGGCTGAGACAGTCTCTCAAGCCTGACTCTTTTTCTAACACTGAAATGTTAACAAGTCTTTAGGGGAATATGTTGAAGTATAAAAGTGTCCTTTTGAGTAAGTTTTATTTTGCAAAGTTAAAAAAAAATAACAAAACCAACACTAAACCACTAGTAACATAAGTACCTTATAACAGAGTACCCTAAATAAATCCTAATGTTCTTTATGTCATTCAATTTATTCATCCATCAGCTATAAAAAATGTACCATTTCTTTTACTATTTTGAGCAAAGTGTCATGTGTTAGATCAGTTAGAAATAAAAATAAAAAACTTTATTTTACCTTCAGTTATACCTTCTTTAACACTCTTCTTTATAGAGATTCAGATTTCTAACCTATGGCATATTTCTCTTTTCTGAAGAATTTATTTTAACATTTCTTGCAAGGCAGAACTATTTGCAACAAATGCCCCCAGTTTTACTTGTCTGAGAAAGCCTTGGATATTGGGAGCTAAAATTTCTCGTGTTCTTGGTTTTCCCTCCTCTATTGTCTCTGGTTTTCTCTAGAGATGACTCCTTTTTCTTCTTTAAAGCTTTGAGGTGCACAGGCCTTTCAGCTGATTTCCCTGTTGTGTCCGGGAGCCCTACTGATGCGGCAGACGGAGTGTGGGGCGGGGGTTTTATACCCTGTGAGAGGCCTCAGCCTTGAGGCCTGTGTCCTTGGACTGAACTTTCCAAGTGCTTCCCAGTTTCTTCTTCCCCTTAAGCGGACGGATGGCTGGGGGTGCTGGAGTTGAGTATTTCCCTGCCCCCAGTAGGTCAGGCGACTGTTAATCAGCTCCCCCAGAGGCAGGCCTTAATAGGAACAGAGCACTCTGGAGTGTTTAAAAATGATTTTTTTCTCTCCACCCCGGCTGGAAGTACAAAGGGATTTTCACTATGAGAACCTGGTCACTACTGGAGGTAAAAGTCATGAAAATATGAAGACCTCTGGGTCCCCCTTGGAGTTTTTAACTCTTGAATTTGTCCACAATGAACCTCCATCAATTAATAATTACAAATTAGGTTTTCTAGCCCTAGGCCTGGTTCCCAAAATGGTCTCGGCTCCTGGTCTTTTGTCTGGAAAGCTGTGGTTCCCTTCAACAGTTGTCTGTCTCTCCATTTTGGGGGGAATGGTTTGCCCTCTGAGCTCAATTTTCTGATATGTCTAAGTGAGTTTTTGATCTCCAAGTTGTTCAGCTTTTTCTTGCTGTGAAGACAAGACTGATGGCTTCCAAGCTCCCCATGTCCTGAATTAGTAACTGGATGCCTAAGGGAAGTCAGGGGTGGGGTAGAATAACATGATACTTTTGTAAATATACTGGATTACTTTTTAAAGGACTTGTCAGAGTATAAATCAGATAGACTCCAACATTTACTCAACGTTTGGTAAAGTCCAGGGAAAACAGATCAAATGATTAACCGATCAGGAGATAAGTGATAAAACAGGATTTTCTGTACTTTTTGAAGATCAGGAAAGCCCTGTAGTTGTAGCTTTAATGTTTCATATGGCAGGCTGACTTTCCAGAGTTGATAAACTCGAAGCAAAAAGCTGGGGATTATCAACCTGGAGAGTGTAATGACCTTGATGGAATGGGTTGAATCCTCATTCCCAAAAGAGGGGAAGGGGGAGAACAGAGCAAACCTTGAACACACCTAACTCTATTTGGCTCCCCGACCTGTGCTCTGCAAGCTGACATGCTCTACTTGCCTCTTTGAAACCACCCCTGCACGGTGGGTGCTGTGATTGCCCCCTGCAGATGCCTGCATGGCCCAAGCTGACATCAGGCTGGGGAGCCTCTAGCAGGAGCCTGGGAGCTCAGAAGGCCTTTCCTGCTCTGGCCTCCCAGGTCACGGCCACACAAAGCAGCTGCTTCCCCACTGAGCTAGAATCTCCTCAGCTTTTCTTTCAAAAACCTCACCAGTAACATCGAGTGTTTTTGATGCCCAAGTCACAGGTATTTCTGTTTCTGTGACTGAGCACATGCAGACACACACACACACACACACACACACACACACACACACACACACACAGAGGTACAAAAGCAGCCAGCAAGGATTCAGGGCTGCTTCTGCTCAGGATGCCGGGTCCAGGGGGCAGGACCAGCCTTTGGGATGCTGATGTCCTTACAGGTAGAGCTTGTCCTGCACACCTGCCCTTCCCGGACACTCTTCCTCACCTCCAGCTCAAGGGTTCACCCTGGGAGGCAGACTCTGCTTCCTACTGGCTGCCTCCATCACCAACTAGGGGTGTGAAACAGGCCCCAGACCACCAGCTGTCTCAGGTGGAGCCATCCCTCCCGGGGTTTGTGGAGCAGGGGAAGAGGCTTGTGAGTATCAGTGAGGCCAGCTGCACAGCATCCCGAGATGTAGGAGCTGTTCCTCTCCATAAAGAGCTACCCTCCAGACCTGTCAACAGAGCCACCGGAGAGGCACAGCCTTAGGTGGAACCTCACAATCAGCTTAGAAAGATGAGATCTAGTCACATGAGGATTTTCCCCGACACCACTGTGAGATGTAGGGGACTGACGCTGTGGCCTGAGGAAGGCATCATGCAGGGCACACCAGTGGTCAGGGGCATGAACAGGAGTGTGGGATGAGCCCAAAGCCCCTGCAGAGCTCAAGGACAGCCCTGATGATGAGTTCCTTGCAGTGACAGAGGTGGAGGGTCGGGGGATGTCACAGATACAGGCTCTGCTGAACAACCACCAAACCCACTTTTAAAATGCAGTGACCATGACACCTCTCTGCCCAGAGCCCTCCTATAGCTGCCATTTATACGTCTTTCAGCATCACACTGAGTCCGCCATCTGCTTCACCCACCACCCCAGCATGGCTACCACCAGTGTCCCTTGCATTCCACCTGCAATGCAGGTGACCCCAGTTCCATTCCTGGGTCGGGAAGATCCCCTGGAGAAGGGATGGGCTACCCACTCCAGTATTCTTGGGCTTTCCTGATGGCTCAGCTGGTAAAGAACCCGCCTGCAATGTGGGAGACCTAGGTTTGATCCCTGGGTTGGGTAGATCCCCTGGAGAAGGGAAAGAATACCCACTCCAGGAGAATTCCATGGACTGTATAGTCCATGGGATGGCAAAGAGTCAGACATGACTGAGCAACTTTCACTTTCACTTGCATTCTCAGACCTGTCCTGATTTGGAACTATTCCATGGTCACCCTACACTTGAGGCCACAGGTGATCTGACCCCTCCTATCCCTTCTCTCACCACTTGCCTGAGTCTGCAGTGAGCAAAACTTGCTGTCACTCCCAACTGGACCGCTTGAGGTTCTACAAGCCCAGGGTGGACACTCTCACCTTCAGCCCATCTCAGGAAGCATCTTGTTTTCCTTGCTGAGGGAAACATGGAACCCCTCCACCCATCTAAGCAGAGTTTAGTGCCAGGCCAGGCAGGGGTTCTCACCCAACAGAGCCAGGAGCTGGGCTTGAGGAGGCCCTGGGGGAGAGCAGCCCAGGGGCTAGGGCTCCCTCTCCAGGCCAGGCGGAACCAGCAGAAACAAAGCCAGCAGCTCTCAACAGAAGTTGGTCTTGTAAATCAGGCCCCGGCTTTGGGGTGCAGGTGACAGGTGTTAAATCAGGCATGTTTAACACAAACTGGTAACTCAGATCCTTCATCTTTGAGAAAAGCCTGGGCAGAGCATGCCCTGTGGTGGGCCTGGGGAGGAGGGGCAGTGGGGAAGGAGGGAGGTGGGGTAGGATGCTCCTTGCTCCCTCAAGTCCTCCTCCAAAGTAGACCCAGCCTTGCAGTTGTCATGCACCCAATTCTTGCAAGACCAGGGTCCTTCCCTCAGAGCTGGCTGGCGGGGGAGGCAGGCTGGGGTGCCCAGAGGACACTGAGGGGGTGACCGGTCCAGAGAGGAGGAGAAGCAGGGGTGGGGGTGGGGGAAGAATGGAGTGAGCCAGAGGACAGAGATGCAGAGGCCTTTGGACTGGGGCTGGGCCTGAACCCCCTGGTGGAGCATGGGGCAGGGACCGGGGACTGATGTGGAGGGCCCAGGGCGGAGGGACGGTATCTGCTGAGTCCTGTTGCACAAGGGGCCGTTGTCGGTTTTGAGAAGGGTCCCACCTGGTGTTTGTTTCACAAGGCAGCCCTGACCAGTGGCATGGACAGACACCACACGCAGAGGCTCTGCAAGAGGTGCTGCCTTTTCAATGTCTTGTTTCGGTTATTATTATTATTATTTTTTTTAGGGAGAAGAGAAGAAAATGAACAAGTTTAAAGTAAAACAAAATAAAGAACTGTTTTAAACCACATGTTCAGCGGTCCAACACGGTTAGTCACCAGTCAGCATCCAGGGCGTGGGGGGCAGTGCTGGACCTTTGAGGACCAGAGACTTGCCCCGGCCTCCAGAGTTCACCGCCCGCAGGGAGACCGCCTCTGCGATGACAGGAAAAGCTGAGTTGTCATCAGTGCCTTGTTCTGGTAAACTCAGCCGGCTGATCACAGAGAACGCACAGATGATTACAAAGGAAATAAACAGCGAGCTTTAGCTCAAACGCCTTTATGAGTCAACATAAGTAAACACGTGGAGTTGGACGCGATGTGACTGCAGAAGAGGAAGCGCCCTCAGTCCCACGCGCGTCCTGAGGCTGTGCCTGGTTGTAACCGCGAGCACTTCGCGGATCCCTTACGGAGCTCATCTCCCAAACACTCACTTCCTGCTTGGATTCTCTGCGCGGGCAGCTCTCCCTGCAGCTTGTAAAACACGAGACCTGAGGAGCCGGAACCGGAATAGGAGTGGGAGAGGAAACCGGAAGAGGAAACGGAGGCTCGGCCTGGGCAGCATCGTTAGCCTGCCGGCCTCCGCACAGGGTTGGGGTCGGCGCTGTATGTGGGCGGCTGTGGCCAGAACGCGTGGGCGGGCAGGTGTCATGACGTCTGACGCCCTCACCTGGGCGCGGTCCCTGGGAATCTGCAGCTCCACCAGATGCTTGCCCCACCAGGTGTTTGCAGCCCCACTCTGCACCTCAGGCAGAGCTCACATTTTCTTCCCTTTGAGTAATATAAAAAATGTTCCTTTTAATTTTCCCATTTTCCTTACAGTTCTGTTTATGAAATGCTTTTTTGAAAATGCAATTTTAATGCCATCTTCTTAGAATTTAATTCCTAAGAAGATAGAAAAATAAAGTGCTGCATCTCCGGTTGGAGACCGAGACTGGGGACTCAGGAGATGGGTGTGGTGAAGACGAAGGGACAGGGACCGGGGAGCCCTGCTGGCTCTTCCTCAGGTGTTTACTCGAAGCAGCGTCCCTCAGCGCCAAGAGCTGCCTTCTTCTCTCTTCTCCTAGCTTCTCCACCAAACTACACGTTTTTGTTGCCTTCCCACTCAAACACTTTGCTCAGTCCAGATAAAAGTAGTGTATTCCCTCAACTCTCTGGAGACATTTCCCATACTGGGATTCCTTCCTCACTGTCCCTTCCTTAGTAATACTCAAGACCAGCCCATCATGAACAAGCCCACCTGGCAGTCACTTCTGCTCTTGTCCACCCTCTGCATCCCAGACACCTAGAGCCCAGAGAAGTGACCCATTAAGCCAGGTCTGAATGAGCTTGGTAAAGCTCCATGAAAGAAGAAATAATTTAGCGGTAAATTTAGAAACCAATGAAATTGTAACTTATTTTTGAAGTTAAAGTTCATGACACAGTTATAAGATGGCAGAGTGGAAGTATGTGTGCTCATCTTCTGCAAGAACTCCAGAACTGCAGCTAGCTGCTGAACATTCCATTGACAGGAGAATCTTGGATCCCACCATAAAAAGGTACTCCACACCCAAGGGCAAAGGAGAAGCCCCAACAAGACAGTAGGAGGGGCAAAACTGCATTTAGAATCAAACCCCATACCCACCAGAGATGCTTGGAGGACTCAAATAAAACCTTGTGCACACCAGGACCCAGAGACCCCACAAGAGACTATGCCAGACTTGCCTTTGAGTGTTTGAGTGTCTCCTGTGGAGGCACAGATCAGCTGTGGTCTGCTGCAGGGACAGTGGCTCTGGCTGCAGCAGACCTGGGAACTGTGTTATATGGCATAAACCCTCTTGGAGAAGGTCGTCATTAGCCCCACCATAGAACAACTGAGGAGACAACCCACAAACTGGAGAACAATGATATCGAAGAACTTCTTACACTGTTGCAAACTTCTAGGGCCTGCAACAGATTCCCCAACCTGGGGATTGGCAGAGGGGCTGAGGCTCCCCAGGGAATTTGACTTTGAAGGTCAGTGGGATTTGATTACAGAATTTCCACAGGACTGGGGAAACAGACTCTTGGAGGTACAAACAAAACCATATGTGAACTAGGACCCAGGAGCAAGGAGCCATGACCCAAGAGACTGAGCCAGACTTGCCTGTGAGTGTCTAGGAGACTCTGGCAGAGGCATGGGTCAACAGTGGCCTGCTGCGGTGGCCTACAGCAGTCCTGGGCGCCACGGGGCATGCTGGCATAAGTCCTTTTGAAGGATGTTGCCATTACCACCATTACCCCTACCATAGTTTGGCCTGAGGCCAAACTACAGGGAAGGCACACAGCCTCACCCTTCAACAAAAAATTGGATTAAAGATTTACTAAGCATGGCCCCACCCATCAGAGCAAGACCCAGATTCCCCTACAGCCAGTCCCTCCCATCAGGAAGTTTCCATAAGCCTCTTTTTCTTATCCATCAGAGGGCAGACAGAATGAAAAACACAGTCACAGAAAACTAACCAAACTGATCATGTGGATCACAGCCTTGTCTAACTCAATGAAACTATGAGCCAGGCCATGTAGGGCCACCCAAGGTGGATGGGTCATTGTGGAGAGTTCTGCCAAATTGTGGTCCAGTGCAGAAGGGAGTGCCAAACCACTTCAGTACTCCTGCCTTGAGAACACCATGAACAGTATGAAAAGGCAAGATATGATGCTGAAAGATGAACTTCCCAGGTCAGTAGGTGCCAATATGCTACTGGAGAAGAGTGGAGAAATAGCTCCAGAAAGAATGAAGAGACAGAGTCAAAGAGAAAACAACACCCAGTCATGAACATGACTGGTGATGGAAATAAAGTCCAATGCTGTAAAGAGCAATATTGCATAGGAACCTGGAATGGTAGGTCCATGAATCAAGGCAAATTGAAAGTGTTCAAACAGGAGATGGGCAAGAGTGAACATTGACATTTTAGGAATCAATGAACTAAAATGGACCAGAATCGGCGAATTTAAATTGGATGACCATTATATCTACTACTGTGGGCAAGAATCCCTTAGAAGAAATAGAGTAGCCTTCATAGTCAACAAAAGAGTCCAAAATGCAGTACTTCTGTGCAATCTCAAAAACGACAGAATGATCTCTGTTTGTTTCCAAGGCAAACCATTCAATACCACAGTAATCCAAATCTATGCCCCAACCAAGCACTAATGCAGAAAAGGCTGAAGTTGAATGGTTCTATGAAGACCTACAAAACACCTTCTAGAACTAACACCAAAAAAAGATGTCCTCTTCATCATAGGGGACTGAAATGAAAAAGTAGGAAGAAGAGACACGTGGAGTAGCAAACAAGTTTGGCCTTGGAGTACAAAATGAAGCAGGGCAAAGGCTAATAGAATTTTGCCAAGAGAATGTACTGGTCATAGCTAACACCCTCTTCCAACAACACAAGAGACAACTCTACACATGGACATCATCAGATGATCAACACCAAAATCAGATTGATTATATTCTTCGCAGCCAAAGGTGGAGAAACTCTACACAGTCAGCAAAATAAGACCAGGAGCTGACTGTGGCTCAGATCTTGAACTCCTTATTGCAAAATTCAGATTTATATTGAAGAAAGTAGAGAAAACCACTAGACCATTCAGGTATGACCTAAATCAAATCCCTATGATTATACAGTGGAAGTTACAAATAGACCCAAGGGATTAGATCTGATAAATAGAGTGCCTGAAGAACCATGAATGAAAGTTCACAACATGGTACAGGAGGCCATTATCAAAACCACCCCTAAGAAAAAGAAACACAAAAAGGCAAAATGGCTGCCTGAGGAGGCCTTACAAATAGCTGAGAAAGTAAGAGAAGGGAAAGACAAAGGAGAAAAGGAAATATACACCCATCTGAATACCAAGTTCCAACTAATAGCAAGGAGAGATAAGATAGATTTTGTAACTGATCAATGTAAAGAAATAGAGGAAAATAATAGAATGGGAAAGACTAGGGATATCTTCAAGAAAATTAGAGATACCAAGGGAACTTTTCATGCAAATATGGGCACAATGAAGGACAGAAATGGTATGAACCTAACAGAAGCAGAAGAGGTGGCAAGAATAAACAGGACTGTACAAAAAAAGCTCTTCATGACCCAGATAATCACGACGGTGTGATCCCTCACCTAGAGCCAGACACCCTGGAAAGTGAAGTCAAGTGGGCCTTAGGAAGTGTCACTATGAACAAGGCTAGTGGAGGTGGTGGAATTCCAGCTGAGCTGTTTCAAATCCTGAAAGATGGTGCTGTGACAGTGCTGCACTCAATATGCCAGCAAATTTGGAAAACTCAGCAGTGGCCACAGGACTGGAAAAGGTCCGTTTTCTTTCAAATCCCCCAAAAAGGCAATGCCAAAGAATGCTCAAACTGCTGCACAATTGCACTCATCTCACACACTAGCAAAATAATCCTGAAAATTCTCCAAGCTAGGCTTCAACAGTACATGAACTGAGAACTTCCAGTTGTTCAAGCTGGATTTAGCAAAGGCAGAGGAGCAAAAGATCAAATTACCAACATCTGTTGGAGCATAGAAAAAGCAAGAGTGTTCCAGAAAAATATTTACTTCTGCTTCATTGACTACACTAAACCCTTTAACTGTGTTGATCACAACAAGCTGTGGAAAATTCTTCAAGAGATGGGAATTCAAGACCACTTTACCTGCCTCCTGAGAAATCTGTATGCAGGTCAAGAAGCAACAGTTAGAACTGGACATGGAACAACAGACTGGTTCCAAATTGGGAAAGGAGTATGTCAAGGCTCTATATTGTCACCCTGCTTATTTAACTTATATGCAGAGTACATCGTGTGAAATCCCAGACTGGGTGAAGCACAAGCTGGAATCAAGACTGGAAATATGAATAACCTCAGATATGCAGATGACACCACCCTTATGTCAGAAAGTGAAGAGGAACTGATGATCTTCTTGGTGAAAGTGAAAGAAGACAGTGAAAAAGCAGGCTTAAAACTCAACATTCAAAAAACTAAGATCATGGCATCTGGTCCGATCACTTCATGGCAAATAGATGGGGAAACAATGAAAATAGTGACAGGCTTTATTTTTGGGGGCTCTAAAACCACTGCAGATGGTGGTTGTAGCCATGAAATTAAAAGTTACTTGCTCCTTGGAAGAAAAGCTATGACCAAACTAGAAAGCATGTTAAGAAGCAGAGACATTGTTTTACCAACAAAGGTCTGGCTACTTAAAGC